TCTACAATGATTGTTTTCAGGTGAAGGACTCGTGGGTGACCATGGTGATGGGATGGATGAGACATGACGAACAAGGACCATAGGCTGCTTAGCTACTCCGGTTTAGTTCAAGTCATTGGTTAAAGCCTTATGTTATGGCCAATAAACGGTTTATTCGTATTTGAATAATTGAGAGATGTTTTTTTTCCTTTCCTTGTTGTTAGTTCCATTTCGGGATAGGAGCCCATCTGAGTTTTATTCCATTTATTTAGACTCATATAGATTGAATAATAAACTTGCCTCGTGGAATGGATTACGAATGTTGTTGATTGTTATTCTTTGAGATTGAATTATTGATAAATTGATGAGGATTGAAACTCTGTTTTATATATTTGTTTCTATTCGAAAGTTGGCAGAATGTAGTCGAGGTTAAATTTAATTAGTTGGGTAGTAAATGTGACCTAGAGGTGTGCGGAAAAGTCTGGGTCGTTACAGTTGTTATTCCTCTTCAGAATTCATGTCGATTGTTTTGGCTTTTAGATCTTGGTCTTCCCCACAGACGGTGCTAATTGTTGATGCATAATTTTGGCTCTCGAGATTTCACCAAATTTTTTCCAATCTTCAATAATAAAAAATGAACTGACGTCAACCTGCAAAACAAATAAACCAATAACAGTGTGGTGGCCACACGGGCTCTGATGCTTATATTAGAATGGGAGGTTGATGATTGTAAAGAGTAGGATTTTTCAGCATCCCTTGATTGCGAGGTCCCTCTATTTATTTATAGATGTCAAAAGCCTAAGGTTGATTGAACATCTTCTCTTTTCAAATAGTTTGAGCTTTGGAGATAGCACGATCGCGAGCCATACGGTAGAAGAGAATGAGGGTCGGCTCATCAATTGGCCTATTGACGGAGCATGAAAACCAGGTAATTGGGACTCGGCTGAGATCTGGTTAGCTGGGGCCTGGTCACGCCTAGATCTGATCATGCCTTGGGCCTTTGACCTGTGCTGTATTTCGCCTGTCCGACTACGTTTTGTCTTCCCATATAACAGTTACAAAGTAATAAACACTTACCTACTAACCACCAATAGAGGAGTACAATGCACAACAAATAGATTACCAGACATTTAACCTTTCTCAGTTCACACATACACTGAAGCAAGACCCTTCTACTAATTGAACTAAAGCCTCAAGTCAATAAATAAAACGGCAGCGTTTGGATGAGAGATGTGAACAAATAAAGCTAGAAAGGGTAATTTAAAACAAATGAAGAGTGCGGACAAAACTGAAAAAGTGAACACACACACCATCTCCCAATAGAGTAGCATAGTAGATATAAATTGTAGCAATGCCTGAAGCTTGCGATGGGTTGAATTCCGGTCAAAGTTTACTAGAAGATAAGATGGTTAGAGAAGAAGCTCCAAGTTCAGAATCCCATGGGAAGCAAGGCGGCTGGGTCACCTTCCCCTTCATCATAGGTGTTTGGGGAAAATAATACCCTGGACACGTGGAGGACTCCTATTGGTGCTCCAAGATGACTCATGAGTCATGCCCAGCTCGGACCGCCGAGATCACCACCACTAGCGTTGACAGATGCGAAGTATGACGGCCGAGGTGAACCTGGCCGAGGTCCGACCTACCGGGAAGCTCGGTGGGGGCCGATGTGAGCTATTGTCAGCGGCGTGATTATCAGGTGTAACCGTTGGTCCCGAGATTACTGGGTGTAACCGACAGTCCCGAGATTACCGGGTGTAACCATCGCGAGATTAGCAAGACTACCACCCATAAGTAGAGGACCTGACTCCACGATCAGGTACGACGATTTTTTCTGACCTCGAACTAAACTGGGAATCCGACCTATACTGACTTGATCGTCGGAGTGCTCACCTTTTTGTGCAGGTCCGCCCAAGTATTCAGATTGGTCCGGAGGCCGAGTTCGAGCTGCAATCTGAAATACACTGTTGTGCATATCCTTGCATAAACATTTGGCACCGTCTGTGGGAACGAGCAAACTCGACNTGTGCAGGTCCGCCCAAGTATTCAGATCGGTCCGGAGGCCGAGTTCGAGCTGCAATCTGAAATACACTGTTGTGCATATCCTTGCATAAACAATAGGTAAAATATCTCTGCCATCTCTGTCTCGTAATTTGTTGAAGAATAATAGTGGTAAATGGAAATTCAGGATGTATCGGTTGTTTGACGCTGGCCAACGGGGGATGGCTTTCCAATTTGATGGTGTATTTGATTCAACAGTACAACATCAACACCATCAATGCTGCTTTAATCTTAAACGTCCTTAGCGGCTGCCTCAGTGTATTTCCCGTCGTCGGCGCTCTTATTGCTGACTCTTTCCTCGGCTCTTTCTCTGTCATCGTAATTTCCTCTTGCATTTCTCTCCTGGTAATTCTCTCTCTCTCTCTCTTCTGACCAAATATAGGAATCACAGCTCAGTTTTCTGTATACTGGTTTCTTGGATGTTTATTTCTTTTACTTCGTTCTGACTCTTAACCATGGTCTCACCACCATGAAATATTTGACTATACATTAATTTACTTTAAAAAATAGGTCTCTGTTTTATGTATTTATCCCTCCTAAAGTTGACTAGTAAGTATCTATTTCTTTACTAATCACCATTATGAAATTGAGAGTTCATATTTTTCTTTCATATTTGTCCAGTTAGAAACTCACCTGTCGATCACTGAAGTATTTTCTTGCTTTGTTTCGAGTAATTTTAAGGTGGTTTAAATTAATGAAACTGGAAATTAAGTTAAAATGAAAGAGAGAGGTGGTTAAAGAGAAACTCAAACTTTCTTTGTCCTTTTCTGCCCCTGATGCTTTTTTAAGTGTGAGAGAATTCAAACTTTGACGAGACATCAATTGTTTTTAATACCGCTGTTGTTGACCAATAATTTTTGGCAATCTTGCAAGTAACTATCTATCCTATAAAAAAACTATCAATATAACTTTCATAGCCAGGTAGAACCGCTGCTGGAGACTTAACTGTTTTTTCTATTTTTTATTCTTCTTTTATGTATTAATTGTCTCAATTTTATTTTATTTTATTTTTTTTT